TCCAAGTAATCTTCGTCGGATACCTTGCGGAATCCGAACCAGCCGAAAACACGCTGGGACATCGGGTTTGAAGGTGGCGGCGGAACTACTGTCATTGGCTGCTTTGTAGGAGTAACCACAGGCGGCGAGGGCAACTGTTGTTGAGAGGGGTCTGCTTCGATTGCTTGGGCTTCGGTGAGCCGTCTTTGGATCATCTTCAACCTCACCACACCCAGTTCGTTAAGAGCAAGTTGCAACGCAGTGCATGCGACCATTGCAGTAACCGCACCGGGAAGGATGCCGGCTCTTCCACCTGTGAATTCGCGCGTATGAACGCATGAGCAATGAACACACAATAGAACCGACGAGGCAACGCACGTCTCCACGCATAGAGCACACCTCCCGTCACCGCACCACTAACCGCCGTGTCAGGTACTTTGTGCGACCTCATATCCCACCAATCCAGCTTCTCCTGCTCGAGCTTCGCCCCTCGCTCCTTCGCATCTAGCTCTGCTCTCCGTCGCGCATACTGTCCGGACTTCACAATTGACAGCAGTGTCGGACTGACGAGATACTCTCGTATGCCTGATGAATCAACGTTGAGCGACGGTGAAACGCCTGTGCAGGGAGAGCAGACACCTACTGAAGAAGGTAGTGCCAACGATGCCACCATTTATTGCTGCTCCGCCAGCTATGGTAGCCATGGGTAGACCTTTGAACACGGCATATGTGCCAAAAATTCCCGCATTAACAAAACCTGCATATTTGAGGGCGCGTCAGCTGGGTCAGTCACGAGCAAAGTGGGGAGGAGGACGAACTCGCATGTTATGAGTGTGCCCTGTGCTACGGTGAGCGGTGCATTTGGGTCCATGCGAGGTCCACGAAGAGTGAGACTCAGAGTGGATTGTGGATGAGAGCAAAGACGAAGTCAAGTAGACGCTCGTTTCGCGCCGCCGTTCAAAGGGATCTTTCCACTTTCCCGCCCGTTTATAAGATACAGTAATAAATGTAGATGAAATAGGAATACATCGGCATGCTACACTCAGAATGTATCTCGTACAAACCCTAGTGTACCTAATGAGGACGCCAATAACTCGATGACCCGCTCACTCTCGGCCGCTTGTACCTCCCGTAACCTCCCCATATCTCCTTTCAGCTCCTCATTCGCAACCAAGACATCGCCATGGATCCGCAGGAATACACTCTGGAACGTCTGAACCGCCTCGAAATCGCGATGTGACCGTAGTCGTTGGATGAGTGCCGTCAGGAAGAGTCGATGCGCATCCAGTGTGACTAATGAGCGGATCTCCAGGTCGATGGCTGCAGGCGATAGTGTCTTGACGTAGTCGTAAAACGCGTCGTCTGGACGAGATCGGAAAGTCAGTTGATACGACTTTGAGAGTTGAAAGCCACAGTAAACAACTTACAGTCCCCATCCTCGTTCTCGGCAGTGAGTTTTTGCAGGAACACACTTTCTGCTGAACCCGCGGCTTTTTGTAGCCGTTTTGTTGGTTTCTCCTTCTCTTTTGCTTTCTCTGATTCTTGTAATGCGAACCGATGCTCGACACCGGGTAGCGTAGGTAAGAAGAACGGCGCTTTCTCAGGCTGTTTTGGTGGTTCCTTTGGCTTATTGCGTTGCTTGGTATGCATTGTCAGTACCGAGACATAAGAAGTCAGATACGAAGAGTCACGTACCTGGATGACATCCAAATTCAACAGCGTTTGCCATCTTGTTCGAGGTAACAGCGTTAGCGTGACGAGATCGCCGTCGAGTTGCGGTGGAGTGACGAAGACATCCGTTGGCTTCTCCGCAATGGCCAACGCCGCAAGTTCTTCCAGTGCTGGTCACAGGAAGTGTCAACATCATGGTCGCAGTAGAGATCCTCCTTTCTCACCTTCTTCCTCCTCTTCTCCTTGCATTGACGGCATCGCGGCGTCGACGATATTGTCGTTGGATATGCTCTGGAAGGATACCTCACTATACTGCGCTCTGTTCGCCCTGCACGAAGCGTTAGTCTCGTGCATCTACCATCTCACTACAACCAGGCTCACGCACCAAAGATAGATGCCGACACTGTCCACATGCGCAGTAGCCAAGAAATCATTCGTCGGGGAGAACGCAATGCTCGTCGCCACACTCGCCGTCCGGAACGCATCGATCAATCGACCGGTTGGCACGTCGAACGTCCGAATGACCGAATCGAGCGATGTAGCAACAAGCCAGCGTGCGTCTGGCGAAAACACCTTTTGTGTGGCAAGTTCGTCAGTGTACGGGCGAATAAAACGGAGCTCAGTACGTACTGCGTCCAAGATCTTGCTCTTAAACCCGCTCATTTCACGTACAATCCGCCGTGTCTCAACATCGATAATTCGAACGACAAGGTCATCGCAGACAACCGCGAGGAGGCCGCTGTCGTTATGGAAAGTGATTGACAAAGAGGAGGACGGGAGGACAAGCGTCTGCTCCAACTCGGTCGTGTGGAAGTCAAAGAACTGCAATTGAGATAAGCATCCAAACCATAGAGCGAATGTCAAAACGTAAACTGACATTAATAGTGCCATCGACTGTAGTCGCAATGACAACCGTATTGAGGGAATCACTGGCCAATCCTGTGATACCGCGTCCTTCTGATCGCTTTTTGGAGCTGTAACTTGAACTTGCGCCTGGAATCGGGTGGGGGCCGACATCGAAAGTTTTCCTGTGCACACCCGATTGCACATTGTACATGTAGATGATTCCAGTACTTGAACCAGTGATACCGAAGTTTCCGCACGCAGATACGCAGACAGACTGATGAGCCCGTCAGAAACGAGCATAGGGCGGGTAGGAGCTTGCATAACTTACCTTCGCTGAACCTTCAGGTAACCCTCTTTTGTTCTCCGGAACCGAGCTCAGTGAATACTTGCCGACTTTCTTATCCTTCATTGTCCAGGAGCGAACAGAGGGTTCGTCAGTATGTGCTGTAAGGATATCATCCCAGTCTTTGGCACGAGTGGTTGAATACGAGATGGCGGTAATAGGAGGGAATTTGAGCGACGTGACAGGAATGGACAAGCTAGAAGCTTTCTTCGCGAGTGAACCTACAACAAACAGGGTCACATATGAAAACAAGACTCAGTGTAAATTAGAACGCACCTTGACTGAGCTCGAAGCTCCTTGAGTCCCGTACAACGCTCGTGCAGCGAAGACTTCGATCTCGTGACGCAGTCAGTAGCTGTTTTCCGTCTTCTCCGTAATATCGGATTATATGGGGTGGTGCATGATGGCCAGAACGGAATTTGAGGAGCCGGGGCGGACTTGTAGGCGAGTCAAACACCCATTGCTGCTCGGTCAACAAGTTAAAGGAGTCACGTCGCTGTTTAGATTAGAAACATACCTTCACACTGTTATCCTCGCCGGAGCTGATCAGCAGTGGTTGTCCAGGAACCCATTCGAGAGCAGTCACGGCACCATCATGAGCTCCGTGTACGACGTGAATGAGCCGTCCCTGATTGCTTAGGTCCCAAAGTGCGATATGGCCAGTAGAAGAGGCAGACGCGAGGATAGGTTGTCCATCTGCAGGCAGGTTGAGCAATGAGCGAATGAACTTATAGCTGAAACAATATCGAACTCACCACTCCGGAAGCTCAGTGCCCTGATGGCGCCGTCTCGCATGGTCATCTTGAGCAACCTCTCATCCATCTTCACGTCATATACGGAGATCTCGCCAGACGCAAACCCAATGCCTACTACGTCTATGGCAGGCGACTGTGTAAGAGCCGTAATTGCAGGCGCATTTTGACTGGCAGGTATTGGGAGCAACGAAGACGGTGAAAAGGCGTGAATACGAGTTCTAATCAAGGCGGTGAGTCGATAATTGGTAGAGAGATAACAGTGAACGCACTGTGTTCGGATATTCCATAGCTGCACTTTACCATCACTGCTGGCTACCAGGACTTTGTTGAGGTATGTAGCGGGATGAAGCACAGTGGTTGCAGTAAACCCGACTTCAAACTGAATGGTCGCTTCAAGCTCTGAAAGAAAGAGTGAGCGAACCCTGTGGAAAGTAGAATGCACGCGACCATACCTCCGGACTTGGTATTCCAAGCAAACATACGGCGACCATCTTCCGTGAGGGCAAGTAGTTGCGTGCCAAAAATCAGAATATAAGAGAGTGTGGACTCTAGCGGATTTTGAAGACGAGTAACCTGGATCACATTCAAGGAAGAGCAATTTCAAAGAAAAAAGAATGGTACGGACCTCTTTGCCTCGCAAATATTTCACAACGTTAGGGCCCGAGGCAACCCATACCGCGTTACCGTCCATAGCCATCGACGATATGTCTTCTGAAAGATCAGGACCTACATAGATGCAAGCAAAATGATCAGCCCTTTCGTCAAATTCTGCAGACGACTACACTCACGCACCAACGAACAGGAGACCCATCTTCCCGCCTTCCCACATCGCCCATGACTTCCCAAGGCACGTCAACACATGCAGTCTCGGTCCCTCCGTCGCACCCTTTTGAGATCTCGTCTGCAAGACGAATGGAACATGGTTTGTGATGAGGCCAAGTGCGCGGAACGGTGCGAAGAGTCTGGGTGCAGCTTTACTTGGGCGCGCGGAGGAACTGATCCGTGTTCGTTTGCGCGGAGGAAGAGGGAGATCGTCTTCGACGGTTTCTACGCGTGGTTCAGCAGCCATTGCACGCCGCTTCAGGGTGTTGAGAGGGTGGAAGGACTGGGTAAGGGGAGAACATAGCGACTGCTTTCGCTCTCGATCGAAGTCCAAAAAATGTCCTTACGTAACGCTGATAGCCTCATTGACGCTGATACTCTTGCACCCCTCTTGGGCGAATTGCAGAAAGCCACTATGATCTAAGCATGTAGCTACCGGACAGTAGTACTATTGCGCCTTTCAAAGAACTCGGTATCTGAAGCCGGCTGTGTGCATGGTCGCACGACGCAGACTGTAGCTCAGAGCAGGGGGTCTCAATCATGCATCTCTGATTATCATTGCGCTGATCAGCAAGTTGTCATGGGCATTAATGGGGTAGTGGTAACCTGGGTCGTTGCCATGTGCGAACTTAGTTCGACCCGCCGGGGGTTCGATTCCCCCTTAATGCAGGATCATTCCTGAACGCAGCGTTCTTTTTTGCAGAGAGACGGCTGCAATATCTCTAGTAGCCGCAGGCTGCAGTTGCATAACACCGACTAATGACTATTCGGAGAAAACACACGACACTTTAACAGAACATGCGCTATTTGACACAGCAGTAGCTACAGCAGTGGCGAAGCTTGAACCTAACACGGTGGATTGGTTCAAATGCATTCAGATCCACAGAAAGGCTTTAGCCGCAAGTGAAGGGCGTGCACTGAACGGAGTCGACTTCACGCTTCTCTCTGTAAGAAGGTCATCGCTGTGAGCGGAGGACAAGGGAGAAAAGTGACTTGAGACTCACTCCGCGAGGGCCCTTTCGGCCGTAGCCCGAACTTCTACCATGTCACGCTGCGCAATGCAGACATCACTAAGAATAGGCAGTCGCATCGATAACAAGGCGACAAGTCTGTAAGAGAGGGGGTGCGTGACTGACCTGCCAGGTGGACAATCCGGATCGACAACGGGACTCGCGACAGCGAGTAGTGCGAAGGGTAGCACGAGAACGATAAACTTGAGCGAGAGCATGTTCAAGTTGCGGTTGTTCTTCTGCGAGATGAGGTTGACTTGATCGGTGTCTTAAGATGGGGGTATTCCTGACCGACTTTATACTGTTTTTTCACCTCCTATTGCTGCGGCAGCAGCCAACGCGCATGAGCACTTCCAAGGAAAGTGCGGAACACGTACTGATAGCCGAGTGCTTTCAATGAATGGCTTCCCGGTCGTTCATGCTGCTCATGGCGCAGGACGGTGTTACTGAGTGCAGTATAGCAATGATTGTACCACACCCGCTCTGCCATTGCAAGAGAGAAACTACCCGCGCCCTTGACATATGTCTGATCCGCGGGCAAACGAGTGAATAGTGGGGCGAATTACGGCGAGAACCAATGGCCCAACGTAAGCAGCACTTCGCACCGCCAAAGCCTGAGGCCGTGTGCTTCACAACTCCTTGGCAAACTGAAGGACGCACGTTATGGGGACGACAATGATTGAGCGGCGTAGCAACACGAAGTCGGCAGCGATACTTTCACTGGATGCTGGCCAACACTGATGACACCTCTCTGCGCATTATTTCTTGAAATTTTCATGTCAGTAAACTGGTGGTGACAGCAGTAAGAAAGCGTACACGGCTTATGGAAGGCCAATAGTAGTAGTACTGGGCCGATCTTCCGCGACGCAAAAGACGTCTCTGCTCGGAATGAGTTGACGCAGGTTGACGCCAGTCACAGTACGGCACCAGGAAGCGGTTTCTAGCATACGCAGCGAGATTTCTTGCTGTTGACGAAGGATGAAGTAGAGTGTCGGAGGTGGGCCCGTTGGTTTCTAGCAACTTGTCTGACGGGCGGGTCGGACCCTCGGGAGACAACACGAACAAACAGTGTCCGTCACGCGTCGCCACCTGCCAATCCGAGTCTCGCATTTGCCGCAGCCTCCTCTTCCCCCTCCTCTTCACTCCTCCCCACCGCTCGTCACGATGGACGTCAACCTCGATGCCTCTCAAGTACCTACAGATCACTCCCCAATCGCGACGCCTGAAGTGATCTCGCCAGTCGTGGCCCTGTCTACCCAGACTTTGACCATCGCTTCGCTAGGATTCGCAGTGCTCTTGGTTGCATGTGCGTCGTCTCTAGCTCTCTTCACTCTCTAATATCTCAATCATTTTCAGTGCTTGTTTCATTTTCGCGAAGACGATCTAAGGCGAAGGGGAATACCTTGTTGTTAATCGGGCCGTCGGATGCGGGAAAGACTGCTATATTGTCTTCAGTGAGTACTGTGCTTGGACTAGATCGGAATAAGACGTTCTTATTGCTCCTTTTGTAGCTTGTGTATGGCCAGACCCTACCCTCACATACGTCCCTGCAAACAAATACCTCTGTTGTGTCACTGGGAGATGCGCAGAAACCTCTCCTTGCTGTTGACATTCCCGGACACCCTCGTATTCGAGACCAGTTCAACGAACATCTTGTGAATGCCAAAGCCGTAGCGTTTGTTGTGGATGCAAGCACAGTGTCTCGTAGCGGCCCTGCAGTTGCTGAGTGAGTAAACCCTTCTGGCGTTCGTGGACCATGCCATTGACTCTCCTTGTAGGCACTTGCACTTGATACTGCACGCGCTCACATCTCTTCCACCATCACAAACCGCGCCAGCATTCGCCATCATAGCACACAAATGTGACCTGCTCAAAGCCACCGCCAGCGCGTCTGCAGACCAGCTCGCCATCGGTCGCGTGCGTACGGTCCTTGAACGCGAGTTGGACAAGCGGAGAGCGTCTCATGCCGGAGGAGTTGGTGTCGAGAGCTTGGGTTCGGAAGAAGAGGGTAGCTCGGAGTTGGGAGGTCTGGAGTGTACTGGTGGTGGAGAGTTCAAGTTCGATCAGTGGGAGGGTGGAGAGGTGACTTTTGTTGGCTCGTCAGTCATTGTTGGGAAGGAGAGTGGGGTTGAGAGTGAGAAGGCGTCGTCTTCAATTGGTCTCAGCTCGTTCCGTGAGTGGCTCGAAGAATTGCGGTGATACACATTGCACGCTTATGCTTCTGTCTGTGCGACTACTGTACATGTGAATCAAATCATGATCCTCGCAATTCTGTACAAGTTTTCCAAATTCCACGAGCCAGGTCCGTGCGCCCATACTGCAGCGACCCCAACACACACAAACAAAGGCGGTTAAAAAACGTCGCTTGTGCGTTTGTTCCTGCTCTTCACCGCTACCTTTTAGACAGTGCCCGTCCTTTTCAGTATTCTCTACGCAGGACGAGGCGATTGAGGTATGCGGAGAGGGATGCTATTCGGTGGCATAAGAACTCTCGCGCTTCCTTTCCATTTGTGACAGGCTTGTAGTGCTGTGAGTGTCAGAACCTCCGCACATTCTCATTTTGCTAGTATGTATCGTATGATAACTGTTCAGCGTTGTGCAATGAATGTTTTGTGTTCTCACTATCCTATTCATCGACTGCCAATGGTCTGTTTGACGGCGAATTCGAGCCCTTTCTTCGTCGATTGTGGCGAGAGCAGCCCAGCTTGAGGCAAGACGGAGGAGGACACGTCACGAGCGGTTCATGGCGCGCGTCATAAACGCCGAGGACGGGAGACTCGCGCGCATTCTCACAGCTTCACCGCGGCCCTTCAGCTTCTCTTGTCCTTTCCTTCCTCCTTCCACCTCTTCATCACCATGTTCATCATCAACTGGTTTTGGGATGTCCTGGCTCAGCTCGGTTAGTGTGCCTTAGTTCTCTGAAGCTGAAAATGCGGTTTGACTGAACGAACTTTCCACTCGCACAGGCCTGATGCACAAGAATGCCAAAATCCTCTTCCTTGGTCTTGACAATGCCGGAAAGACTGTGAGTACTGGTTCTTATGCTGCTTGTTCTTGTATTCCTCAACTCCACTATGTCTTGCAGACTCTTCTTCACATGCTGAAGAACGACCGATTGGCCACGTTGCAACCCACACTTCATCCCAGTGAGTGTTCGGTCTTAGAGGATAGGTTGTAGAGGGAGCTGACACCCAGCTAGCGTCGGAGGAGCTCGCAATTGGCAACGTGAAGTTCACAACTTATGACTTGGGAGGACATCAGCAAGGTGCGTGCCACATCCTTTCTGCCTCCCCCACTCGACTGACGGGGACGCACACCAGCACGTAGGCTTTGGCGCGACTACTTCCCCGAGGTAGACGGTATCGTTTTCTTGGTCGACAGTGCCGACTTCGAGCGATTCGCCGAGTCGAAGGCAGAGTTGGACGCACTCCTTTCCATCGAGGAGCTCGCCAAGGTGCCCTTCCTCATCCTCGGCAACAAGATTGACGCACCCGGCGCTGTCAGCGAGGAGGAGCTCAGACACAATCTCGGTCTGTACCAGACCACTGGCAAGGTATGTGTTTTCCCTTGTATGCACTAGTCGTCTTCATACTGATGTATATGATTGCCAATCCTTCTCGTGCAACAGGGCAAAGTCCCACTCACCGACATCCGCCCCATTGAGATCTTCATGTGCTCCGTTGTGCAGAGGCAGGGGTACGGAGAGGGTTTCCGATGGGTCTCGCAATACGTATGTGCCACTCATGTCTGCTCCTCTGAAAGACGTTCTGACAGCAGGTTATGCAGATCTAAGGAGACTTTCGGTGGGCTGTGTAGATGCGGCTTGGGGGGATACACTACGTGTCGTCTAGATAGTGGTCTCACTACGGACGTTTATTCTGGCTTTTCTCTTCGTACTTTTTGCTATATATGATATCTTCTTCTCCCTTATAATTCTGTGAGCGAGTTTTGCGTGAAGTAAGGAAGCGAAGTTATGCACAAGGTGGCCTTGCACGAGTAACACGCTACGAGCGGCAAATTGAAGTCCCCCACCAACGATGCCATGACATCCAACAGCCATGGCCTCCTCCAAGCACTCTCTTCCTTTCACAGCATCCTCATAGTCTCAGTCCTCATACGCGTTGGCCTCATCTGGTATAGTGAATGGCATGATGCGCGGTCTGTCGTGAAGTACACAGACATTGACTACCGCGTCTTCACGGATGCAGCGCGGTTCGTCCTCCAGCCAGGGCCTGGCAACTATGCGCAAGGTCCTCTGGGCAAATGGCTCTCTGTCGGCGAGTGAGTCTCTCTGCTTGACTATCTACTGGTACCTTACTGACCGTGGTATGCTTGTCAAAGTCCATACACGCGACAGACGTACCGCTACACCCCGCTCCTCGCTGTCCTCCTCACACCCAACCACTGGCTACACCGCTCCTTTGGCAAATACCTCTTCGCAGGATGCGACATTCTCGCTGGAACTCTGATGTACCAGCTCCTTGTCTCTATCATTCTCCCCGGTGTCGCATCACGTACTCGTACCTCCAAAACCAGCGAAGATGAACCAAGGCCAGTAGACATCAAACGTCAAGCAGCCCTCCTCTCAGCCATCCACCTCCTCAATCCTCTCGTCTTCTCGATATCCACTCGCGGGTCTTCTGAATCCGTGCTGTCGCT